AAGTTTGGTTTATTTTCAACTCATTGTTATAAAACATTACATCCAGGACCAGATTTTCAAAGGTGAAATACTCTTACAAAAACATTTTGCATGGTGGCATGTACCAGTGCATCCTGATCCATCTGGGTAGACCCTGGCAGCCAACTGCAGCCCTGTTGATGATCAATGGGTATCTGTGCTGGCTAGCATGACATTATGTTCCATTTTGGCCGGGAGAGTCCCCTTTTTAAGCTCCATCTCAGACGTCATTACTCTTTTGGCAAAACTGAGCATTTTTCCCATTTGTTCTTGTCCTATGGGGGTCCCGAGGAATGTTCGAGCAAGAGCAAATGGGACAAATGTCCAGTTTTGCCAAAAAAGTTGTGAGGTTCATGATGTCAACAGGCCAGCAGCGATGGCAGGCAGCACATATTTTTTCAATGCAGCTAGGTGCGGAGGGGGCAGGGAAGGAGGGAAATCAGAGCAGAGTGGGTCAAGAAGAGGTACAGTAAGGAGGGGATAGGGAAAAATAGGAGAGAGAAGAACTGGGGCAGAGGGTTTATAGCCACTCTCAGTGTTCTGTTTTCACTTTAGGGAAATATGGTCACCCAAGTGCTGGCACAAGATTCACCTGAGTAGATCAGAGCCTTTTTGTTACTGGTGGCCTCGTTAGCACTACAAAAGTAATTTTCCCTCTCTTGATATTCACCCCTTCTTGTCAACTGTTCAGAATAGGCCACTTCCACCTTAATTGAATGGGCCTCGTTAGCACTGACCCCCCCACCCCCCAACTTGGTAAGGCAACTCCCATCTTTTCATGTGTTGTGTATATATATACTGATTACTGTATTTTTCACTCCATGCATCTGATGAAGTGGGTTTTAGCCCAAGAAAGCTTATGCCCAAATAAATGTGTTAGTCTCTAAGGTGCCACAAGGACTCCTCGTTGTTTTTGCTGATACAGACTAACACAGCTATCCCTCTGAAACCTGGTAAATGTTGGTTTTTAATGGTAAGTTTTTTTTGTTTTTGTTTTTTTATCACTCATCTGTGTTTTTTTTTAAAGGAATTAATAGCAATGTACCATGTAGGAGCTTTGTTTCTGGGTTCAAAGTATACCCACTGACAATTTGCTGGAGCATTTCACCCTGCAGAATTTACTACATATGCATTCAAACCTCACGTCATTAGAGCTACATGCAGCAAAATGTATTTTTGTTGCTAATTGGCTTTTAAAGTTCTTCATTTTCAGGGAGATGGGTTGTCTTTTAGTTAAGACAAAATATGGTGTCTAGAATCGTGAAACAAAGCAAGCAGTGAAAGTCCTACTGAAACACTACAACATGGCTTTACTTTAGTGAGAACTTATTGTATTTCATCAATCTTTTAACTCATTTGAAAGCAATTTTGTAAAGTAGCACTGATAAACCCTAAGCACTAGTGTCTGAGTCTGTTCATAAAGCTTTTCTTCTAACACAATTACTTCCTGATTCATCACCCAGGAGTAAAAGAATGCAGGAAGAAAGAAAAAAATAGAGTTAAACAAAAAAATATTTCTTATAATTTTTACTGTTCAAATTGTGGCTGGATTACAATGTCTTTTACTATCATCTCTAAATAATTTAAAGTAAGCTGAGCAATCTAAATTCTTTCTGCCTAAATTATTTAGGGTATAAATGTTTCCCGTTGAATGCTTTTGTGGTCACATTATGTGTCGCGGTCTTAGTGAATAAAACTATCTTTAATGCAATAATACAAAGGCAGTGGATAGAAATAATACATGAAGTGCATACTGTTATTTTGCTTCTCATGAAAATGATAAAGCACATTTCTGCAACAAAATTAATTTCTTATTTTCTTTAATAAAACCCAGAGCCTCTGGAAAAACTTGTAGGCCTTTTTGTTTTTGTTTTTTTATTTTTGCACCATATGAAGTCAAAGGAAAAAATATTGTATTTGACACTACTTATGGCAAAACTAGCTTTTGCTCTCATGTTTCAAGATTTATCCAGACTTTTTTAATGTAAACAATAGCCACTGTACAGGTTGACAAATTACCTCCCTCAGGGAAAGCACATCGTTTGCAGCAAGAAATACAGCTTGATTTATATTGGTTTATTTATTCCTTCCGATTATTTATTTACATACTCCCATTTCTCTGAAATCCTATTACCCAAACCTCCATATTATCTGAATTCCCTTCCTCGTCCCCCAGCATGGATATACATGCTCTCCATGGGGGACAAGGAAGGGATTTAGATAATGTGGCATAATAGAGCAGAGACCTGGCCAAGACTGCATGAAAAGGCCCCCCTGCAGCTGACTGGCTCCTGCCCTCTCAATTGTCCAAATTCCCAATTATCCAAACAAAATCCTTGTCTCCCATGCTATTCGGATAATGAGGAGTATACTGTAAACACATCTGGTAGTAAAACTTTCCTTTCCAGCTGCACAAAGAACCAGTCAGGAGGGTCTGACCTGTAATCTAGCCTGGTGTAAGAGAGGACTGTAACTCCTTTGAAGTCAGTGGTGTTATATTGGTGCAAAACTTGGGCAAGTCAGAATAGAATCATGTCCTTTGTCTAGTTGTAGACAAATATTGCTTAAAACGTGGATTACAAGCTCCATGGCTGAGGGACAGTCTTCTATGTCTGTAAAACACCATGCATATTTATGTTAGTACCACCAAATCTTTAGCTGGTATAAATTAGCATCGGTCCATTGACTTCAGTGGTGCTAGACTGCTTCACACTAGCTGAGGATCTGGCCCAATAACTATAACAAGTAATACACAGTATATTTTTACTTATTATCAAAATTACTCCTTCCTTCACAAATTATTTCTCTTGGTATTTCTCAGGTGGGCTGACTACAAGGAAAATCTATTTGGATTGAACGGACTGGTAATTCATGGAAGACTGGAAACGCAAACATTGGCTTGCGCAGTAATGACATTTTATTGTAGGCATTTAAAACATCTAGAACTTTGTTTAATTTTTGTATCTCTATTTCTCATGTTTTTATTATGTTCTTTATCCTCTCAAACTATTTTACAAGTTTTAAAGCTTATTTTTCTACCAACACATCCCCTTTTGCTTTCCTCGTTCAGTCTTTGCAAACAAAATCTAGTGAAACTTGCCTTTCACAAACATGCAAGGGAGCTACAAAAATGGGATGCTTAGCACAGACAATCACTTATTAAAAGTGTAGCAGAACTATACTCAATAAGTTTGAGGAAACTTATGGAGAGTTTCTTAATACAGGAGATTATCAGGGAGCAGATCCTTACCTGATGTAAATGGTCACCACCTCACTAAAGTCAATAGAGATACGACAGTTTATAATAGCTGAAGATTGGTCTCTGTAATTTATTTTGGGCAAAGCAAGGCCCAGTTTTTTGAGTTCCTGCGTATCTTTTATAATAGCTACACGAGGGCTGGAGGGAAAACCATTCTGGTTCACAAAATAATATGAGGCTTCCAAATTTGTTTTTCTTCCTATAAAGAACAAAGCCAAGATATTTTAAAGGCTTTTAAAAACTGAGGAAAGACTTCCTCTAGCATGATGGTTTGGATACTAACCTGCAGTGTAAAAAACCTAGGTTTAAGTCCCTTCTCCCTGTCAGAAGAACATTTAAAGTCGAATAAAACAGCTTTCTGTGATGAGATAATACCTTATCCAGCTCTAATTCACATATGCTATTTCTGTGGAAGGATGGATCATCAATATAAAGTGCAGAGTAAGATCTTTTCATCTGTGAGAGACTTTAGGATTTCAGTGCTATAAACCAACTTGAAATATTTTTTGCTTTTTTTTTTAGTAGAAATTCCCTTTTGGAAGGAGTTTGATTATCCAATACACATCCTGGTAATCACTGTCCAGAGTGTGCTCATAGTCTATATCCAGTGCTAATTAACAATTTGACAAAGGATGTAAAGAAGCAGGATTTCATTCATCAGAAATCGCAGGATAATGAGTATCAGCATATTCTTTAATATCATTCCATTTCCCATTAATCCAACCAGTTCTTGTGCATTGGCCACTAAGAGAGGCTGCCTCTTTGTGGCAGCATAACATACAGATAGGACATAGACTGTATAAGGGAAATAATATGCAAAAAAGTTTGCACATTTGCAGTTCACTCTCTAATAACTCCAGGCCACATTGCATTTTGACTACTCCTTGGAGCAAATGCATCTGTCCTGCCATGCAGATGATCCATGAGAAGGAAGAGATTCTTTGTTACTAAGCCACAAAAGCAGAACTCTCATTCTAATTCCTTATATACCCTGTAGTTTGTAAGGCTTTCATGTGACCCCAAGTTATCACTACAGTATGCAGCAGATCAATACTTCTTTGTGATGGTTTAGAGATGATTACAAGCAGAAGCTACAACACCAAATATTTATATAACTTTTTTAAATGAAACTAATTTGGCATTTATAGTAGCAGGCTAAGGGGAGTTAATGGTTCAAGGGATTGTTATGGGATATTTTACATATATGTTAAATTTTAGCCCAAGTGAGTTGTGACCAAACATTGACAGTTCAGTGAAATGCTATGTGGAAAGAATTGTGGTCTGGGGCTAGTCCACATCACAAAATCACTATCATCATTGGCAGTCTGTGCAGAAACTATCAAACAGATATGAAATCTAAACTTCCTTCTGATGGTTTCTCCAGGTCAGGACTGAGGTCCTTGGGCGGGGCAATGTGAGGAAACGTGTGCTCCTGCTGCTAAATCTCCTGTGTGAATAAAGATTTCAGATCCAACGGCTGTCAATCTAGTAACTTTTGTGAGCACTATGTTCCCTTAAGTAACCTATACTCTCCCTTTATTTAAGACTCAGTGCAAATGAAAGGCAGTGGCCTGAGCTAATGGCTTCAGCAACTGAATCAGAAAAAGTTTATTACAAATAAATTTTATTGACTGCATCAGAAACATGGTCGTTTTTAAAAAGTATATAACAAACTGCTGTGGGAACATCATAAAAGGAGGTTCTACATGGGAAGATGCCATTCTTAACTTGCACAGCTCTTGCAGCGCTGTAACCCGTTCTCGTTGCAAGAGGTACACTTGAGGGCTTTGAAAGAGTCTGTAAAACAGTTCCGAAATACTGACATCTTGCTCCCATGGCACGCTGAGCATGGAAGGAAGCCAAAACCACCACAGGAAGGGCATTCGTGGGGATGCTGCACTCTCTGCACAAGGAAAAAGAAAGCAAGAGAGGAAAAACGTTACTCTGTTAATGACTGTAAGCTCTAGCATAATGAGGATTCCAAGTCAGATTTCACTTTGCAATATCTATTCTAGGAAACAGCAAAATCTGAACACTGAAATCTGGTTTTGGTTTTTGTTGTCCTACTGCCATAGAATCTTGCTTTATCTGTCCTTTCAGGTGGTAAGAGTAGCATTCAGTGATCAGCCAAGTTCATTACAAGTTGGTATATCTAACATAATGCTTAATGGTTTGTGTTTTCATTTGCCAAAAGAATTAGCCAGGTTCTAAATATTTTATTGTCTAGTTATGATCTATTAGGTAACTTAACTGGCCTGTTCTAAATTCTGGGGTAAGAAACAGGGGTTTTTGTGTTTATATTATGTATGGTGCATATTATTATAGTATGACTTGTATAATTTCTCATGTTTATGTTTGAATTGTGTGATTCAGCATTTGACAGTTGCTCATATCTTAAAATGATTCATAGCATCTAAGCAAGGCAGAGCTCTTTGGAAAACAGGTATATTCAAATCTAAGTATTGAGGAGATTATCATAGGCTTTAATTGTAAAAGATATATACCAGCCATGGGTCTGATTCTTCTCACATTTGTACAAATCAGGAATAAATGCCTTTGAAATCAATCGTTACACTGGGGAAACTGGTCTGAGCAGGGAGAGAATAAGACTCAAATCTCTCAGTTGTTCCAGAATTGTTTTAATAATTCTGTCTTTATTTTCTTTTTCTTTATGATGCATTAAAGAGATTTAAGAAGCAGACTTAAATCTCTTTTGATGAAAATATCACCAGTTAATTTAATGATCATCCTGGAGTTTTACATGAGAGTAATGAAATATAGCAAGTACTTACAGTAGCACAGGTGTATGGGCTTTTTAGAGCTGCTGTTTTGAGTGAAGGCTTTTAGGGCTCATTTACAAAAGAAAGCCAGTTATACATACAATCCCTGTTATTATTTCCCAGAGGTATCATACATAAATAATTAGCAAATTATGCTAAAATGTACAACGAATATACCACTTTTTTGTAATTTCATCAAACAACGCAACAGAAGTGATGAAAAACTGTCCAGAAAAATAGCTGTCTACTAGTAATGCAGATCAATGTGCATAGCCACATAAAAAGTGAAAGGATGAGGAAAGGCAGATCCCTAGCTGGTATAAATTAGTACAGTTCCCTTGAAGTCAATGTCAGTTCATTCCAGTTGAGGATCTGGCCCAAGAATCAGTAGCGTAGCTAGGGAGGCAGTGGCGGAGCGGCCACTCCCCACTGAGCACATTCCCCCAAAATGGCGCCTTTTTAATTTTTACACTCACCCCAGCAGTCTGGGTCTTCGGCGGCAATTCGGCGGCGGGTCCTTCCGCCGCTCCGGGTCTTCGGCTGCAAGTCCTTCAGTCTTCAGCGGCAAGACTTGGGTTTTTCTTTTTTTTTTCTTCTTCGCTGCTTCGGCAAGAATCTCTTAAATTCTTGTATCCTAATGCATCTGATATGCTGCATGAAGCAGCATGTGATGTGCCCCTGAAGCTGGGTGAGGGCAAGGGGGTGGCCCAGAACAATGACAGTGCAAGCTTCCCCCATGTTGCACTGATAACATGGCAAGGTTATAGAGCGGCATGATTAGTGTTATCTTGGGGCTCAACCTTCTAACACTTGGAAAAGACTTGTGTAAAGCTTCTGTGCTTAAAACGTTTGCCATATGTTTGATAGAAGTGTTACATAAGTATACATAGAAAACTAGATAAAGAACTCAGTGGTATGTAAAATGCCTACTTGATCCTGGGATATATAATCTCTACACAAAGCTGCAGAAAAAGATCCCAGCCAAAATGCTGTGGGAAAACATAACTTCCTGACCCCAATTTGGCTATTAGATCATCCCTGTGTATGTGTGGAAGAATTATCATGCTGAAGAAGCTGATCCAATATATACCAATGTTAGCCAAAGGCAAAGCCAGCTTTTGAATTTCTTGTCGGAGTATAGAAAGTCAAACTTAGACATCACATGAATTCCCTCTCGTTTTTCCCTGCATCCCCAAAAAATGGCTTTTACCACTGTCTCATTCAGCAAGCAATTCCTATTTTTGACTAACCTCTGTGGGGAAGTGTTTATAGCAAAATTCATTTTTCATATCCAGCAATGCCCACATTTTCTGTTGCTGCTTATGATACTAACCTTTTTACTTATATGGATATTTTTGCAATTAACTCCAAAATTATAAGAGAACCTCATTCTTATAATTAAATTCCTTAAATTTCTATTGCTGGCATCACGTGAAAAAGCAATGGTGTGCCACCTAGCAACACTTAGTGACGGGATGTAACTAGGGCTGTTGATTAATCACAATTAAATCATGTGATTAACTAAAAAAAATTAATCACAATAAAAAAATTAATCATGATTAATCTCAGTATTAATCGCACTGTTAAATAATAGAATACCAATTGATATTTATTAAATATTTTGGATGTTCTTTTACATTTTCAAATATATTGATTTCAATTATAATACAGAATACAAAGTGTAGAGTGCTCACTTTATATTATTTTATTACAAATATTTGCACTGTAAGAATGATAAACAAAAGAAACAGTATTTTTCAATTCACCTCATAAAAGTATTGTAGTGCAATATCTTTATCATGAAAGTTGAACTTACAAATGTAGAATTATGTACAATAAATAACTGCATTCAAAAATAAAATAATGTAAAACTTTAGAACCTACTAGTCCACTCAGTCCTACTTCTTGTGCAGCCAATCGCTAAGAAAAACAAGTTACATTTATAGGAGATAATGCTGCCCTCTTCTTATTTACAATGTCACCAGAAAGTGAGAACAGGCATTTGCATGGCACTTTTGTAGCCGGCATTGCAAGGTATTTACGTGCCAGATATGCTAGACATTTGTATATCCCTTCATGCTTCGGCCACCATTCCAGAGGACATGCTTCCATACTGATGACGCTCGTTAAAAAAATAATGCGTTAATTAAATTTGTGACTGAACTCCTTGGGGAAGAATTGTATGTCCCCTGCTCTGTTTTATATATTTCATGTTACATTGTTTTATTTTTGAATGCAGTTATTTTTTGTACCTAATTCTACATTTGTAAGTTCAACTTTCATGATAAAGATATTACACTACAGTCCTTGTATTAAGTGAATTGAAAAATACTATTTCTTTTGTTTTTACAGTGCAAATATTTATAATAAAAATAAATATAAAGTGAGCACTGAAAACTTTATATACTCTGTGTTGTAACTGAAATCAATATATTTGAAAATGTGGAAAACACCCCAAAATATTTATACAAATGGTATTCCTTTATTGTTTAACAGCATGATTAATCACGATTTTTTTAATCACTTGACAGCCCTAAATGTAACCCTTTGAAAAAGTTGGATTTTGGGAGGGGAAGTCTAGTTTTGCCTTAAAAGAACTGAACTGGACTTGTTGAAAGACTGGACTGCATACAGTGAATTCCTGTGTTCTGGATCTTTGGTGAAAATGAGTCACAACTGAACCTTATAGCTAATTTCAGGCAAAGCCATCTCTGTAAATCAGTGGATGTACTCTGTGTACCGTTATGATCATAGTCTGCTCTAGCCTGCTATTTATACTTTAGTGGCACTTAATGGCCCCTGCAAAGATCAGGACACCCATTGTGCTAGGTGCTGTACATACACATAGTAAGAGACTGAGGTAACGTTCTAAGCAGATAGGACAAGCAAAAAGCGGGAGAAAAGAAGCGTATCTGTTTTACTGATGGGGAAAGGAGACACCAAGCTTGACTTGCAAGAAATCATACATGAACTCTGTGATAGAGCTGGGAATTGAACCCTCATCTTGTTAGTCCCAGACCAGGGCTTTAACCACCCATCCTTCTGGAGAAGGATGCTAGAGGCCCTGTCAACAAACACAGCTTAAGTACATGTAAAGCTGTCTCACTGGCCAGTCCTTTTGAGCCCAGAGATGGCCAGTGGATGGAGGAGTGAGGGGTATTCTGCTACCCTCACTGCTACTACTGCTAAATTCCCTCAGGAACACCCATTTGTTGAGTGGAGATGGTTTGGTCTCTTTCAGTTGTACTATGCTGGATATTGCTTTTTGTTGTATTCACCATTGTGTTTCTCTTCTATCAGGATCAAACAATTTGCTGTCTGATTAAATATCAGACTCCTTATGCTGGATTTGTTCCAGCTCAAATTGTGGAGATTGCATAAATAGTTCTTACAGAGGATAAATGTTTTGGGTCTTCTCCCTATCAAATTCAGGAACAGTGGATGTGGACTGTTGAGTTTGGCATAGTGGCAACCCCAACCTTCTGATGGGGCTGGAATCTTTGCTGGTTTGTAACACTAAGTAGTTGTTCGTTTTAAAAAACAGGATTTGTTATCATCAGTTTAAAACAGAAAGAAAGGAAATACCTAGCAAATAATTTAATTTTAACAGCACAACTTCTATTTGTAGTTTCTCCACAGAGTTTGTAAAAATACAATTACCTCAATTTTGGTTAAGAGATCCTGAAGCTCCCCTGATTCATTCATTGACAGAATTTTCTCAGCTCCCTATTAGCAAAAAGAAAAAACACAGCAGCTTTAGCACTGGGGGAACTGGAATTACCTGAGGGTTTACTCTTGGAAACTTAACTAGGTTGAAGAAATGATTGAACATTGTTCATGTGAAGTATTTTTGTTATGAGATGAACCTTAGGATGGCTAAAAGGTGAAAATAACCTAACCCAAGTTCCTGAAAAGCTGTCCAAGATTGGTTATTGAACTCTATATTGCATTTTTCTTGTGAATTCACCACAACTTAATTATAGAGACTGTTTTTGCCTTATTTTACATTATGCACTTCCTGGCAGAAAATGTCTTATATGTCAAAAATACAATTATATAAATATACAATGCATCAGAGAATGTAGCTAAATGATATAGGGGAAACGGTATTTCAACTATTCCGGGAGGTGAGTATTGAATTCAGACATAACATTCCTAATAAGAGTGAGTAAGGGCAATGAAAATTCTGTAACAACATTGAAGTCAAAACTCTGTAGTGAATAATAATAATGTAGGCCTAGTACATTAGGCCTTTGGGGATTTCTGTGATCTGAACCAGAGCAGTAATGAAATAGTTTCTCATTTTTCTTTCTGAAAGTAAATGTTCAGAGATTACTACAAACAAAATGAACGTGCCAAAGAAGATGTAAAACTTTTTTTTTCTGTTTTTTCTTTTTGCAAATAATTAAGGGTCCAATTTGAATGTTTTGCATTTAACTTATGTAACTATGAGTGTCTTGAATAATAATACCTGGCTCTTACATAGCACTTAATCTGTAGTGCTTAAGGTGCTTTACGAAGTAGCTAAACCTAACTATACCCATTTCACAGATGGGGAAACTGAAGCACAAGGCAGTCAAGCGACTTTCCGAGGGTCACCCAGAAGACAACTGGTGGCAGAGCCAGGAATAGAATCCAGCACTTCTGAGTCCCAGTCCAATTCTCTAGCTACTAGGCAACTCTGTCTCTCCTGTAGCTCAGTAGTTACTGTTACTGCACCAAATACAGTACTCTGGATTAGAGGCTTCTGTACGTGCATATTTGAACACACACTTAGTTCAACTGACAATATGTTGGAGTGTCACATACTGGTATCCTGTTCTCCATGGCCAAATGCTGCTTCTCCCCTATCTGCACCCCTCCCGTCCCCGTTACCCTTGGGGGCTTGGAAGGCCCTGAATGCAGACAAATTTATGTTGTTCTACTGAGCAGGGAGGCAGGCCATGTAGAGGCCAAACAGAGGGACTCAGTGCACACACCATGGGGCTCTACTCCATGATACTGTTTCTGTGGCAGCTGGGATGGGAGTATGGTGAAAGATCAGCCCAGAGGAGGAGTCAGTGACTGGCTGGTGGTTATGCCACTAGGTGGAAACACAGAACTGAAACCCTTGTGCATGGGAGTATACAGGTCCCCAATTACTTCCACAACTTATTAGTTGACTGGGGCAGCAGAGTGGAGGCACAGGTGTTCTACAGATCCTCAGATGGTATAAATTGTCATAGTTCCATTAAAGTCAATGGAGCTATGACAATTCTTACACCAGTGGAGGATCTGCTTGTATCTAGCATTGGGGAAGCTTCCTCATGCCTGCCCACCCAACTTAGATCCCCAGCACAAAGTTGTTTTGCTTTAACTTTTGCCGAGGAATGGCATTATTTTTCTCTCTGAGGCAGTCACAACAGATGCTGTGGGTAATTTCTCTGCTATACCTATTGGCTGCTAGTCAGAGACACAGTTTATAATTATAGTATTTCATCTCTTCAAATGACAACCTATGAATATTTTAGCCAATACTTATTTAACAACTGATTGCTATTCCATTATTTCATATTTACAGGAATTGAAAAGGAGAGGCAATATATATCTGGCTGTGATTAGTTACAGAAGCAAAGCTGACTGTGCACTCAGCTCTGCCACCTTTGTTCATGTTCAGTAGTGCCTTCCTCCATGAGTTGTCCTATTGAAATCTACTACAGATTATGGGCTGATGGGACAGCTGCTTCAAAGACTGTTCCATGGCCTTCTTTGACACCTGCACAGGGGCTTCTGAAGCTCTACCAGCCTCTAGCTTGAACACACCACACCTTCAGTTCAGTGGGATGACTAGCGGGAGGGTGCTACTTAGGTCTTGTCTTCACTACCCGCCTGGATCGGCGGGTAAAAAACGATCTCTCGGGGATCGAATTATCGCGTCTCGTAGGGACGCGACAATCGATCCCCAAATCGACGTGCGTACTCCACCAGCCCAGGTAGGAGTAAGCACCGTCAACAGGGGAGCCGCAGCGGTAGATTTGCCGCCGTCCTCACAGCGGGGTAAGTCAGATCGGATATGTCGAATTCAGCTACGCTATTTGCGTAGCTGAATTTGCGTATCTTAAATCGATCCTCCCCCGCCCCAGTGTAGACCTAGCCTTAGTGTGGGTAAGACTGGCAGAATCTGGCACATGAACATCCCGGTCACACAACGTGACTGTTGCTACAAAGCCATCATTTGCCAACAAATACAATAGTGTTTGCTGAGGCCTGTCTATATGAGGTGGGAGGAGCTAAGCTCGAGCTACACCAGTGCAAACCTCTGGTATAGATGCACTGCACTGGTATAAGACACAGGTTGCACTGCTGTGATTTATCATGCGATGTAGCAACATTTAGGGATTTACAATTCCACTGATATAGATACATCAGTGCAAATTTCCCTAAATCTAGACAAGCCCTGAGATTATTACAGTTTATTTCTATTTAGAATAGAAATATCTATTGTAACTATGTAGTAACAGTTGGTAAAAAACCATTTCTGTGGTTCCTGCTTTATGCTATTTTGATATTGAATTGTAGTGTAAAGCTACTGTCACAACAGTATAATTCAAAATTTGACATGCTTTCCATTATGAACTCAGATTTTAAAGGGTTTATATTTCAGTTTGCATTCAGCTAAAACTTTATCATCCCAGCTGCAAACCAGAAATTCACATTACTGCACCTTTTTTTAATGGTACAGTAGTTAGCAACAATTTTAAAGTCTTTAATATAACTCAAAATAAATTAATCACTATTAAAAAAATTATCACTATTAATCACAGTTTTAATCGCACTGTTAAACAATAGACTAACAAGTGAAAATTATTAAATATTTAGGATGTTTTTCTACATTTTCAAATACATTCATTTCAATTACAACACAGAATACAGTGTACAGTGCTCACTTTATATCATTTTGATTACAAATATTTGCACTGTAAAAAATGACAAATAAAAGAAATAGTATTTTTCAATTCACCTCATAAAAGTACCGTAGTGCAATCTCTTTATCGTGAAAGTGCAATTTACAAATGTAGAATTTTTTTGTTACATAACGGCATTCAAAAACAAAACAATGTCCACAAGTCCACACAGTCCTACTTCTTGTTCAGTCAATCGCTAAGAGAAACAAGTTTGTTTACATTTACGGGAGATAATGCTGTCCGCTTCTTATTTACAATGTCACCTGAAAGTGAGAAAAGGCGTTTGCATGGCACTTTTGTAGCCGACATTGCAAGGTATTTACGTGCCAGATATGCTAGACATTTGTATGCCCCTTCATGCTTTGGCCACCATTCCAGAGGACATGCTTCTATGCTGATGATGCTCGTTAAAAAAAAATGCATTAATTAAATTTGTGACTGAACTCCTTGAGGGAGAATTGTATGTCTCCTGCTCTGTGTTTTACCCTCATTCTGCCATATATTTCATGTTATAGCAGTTTCAGATAATGACCCAGCATGTTGTTCGTTTTAAGAACAGTTTCACTGCAGATTTGACAAAACGCACATAAGGTACCAATGTGAGATTTCTAAAGATAGCTACAGCACTCGACTGAAGATTTAAGAATCTGAAGTGACATCCACAATCTGAGAGGGATGCTTTCAGAAGTCTTAAAAGAACAACACTCCGATGCGGAAGCTACAGAACCCGAACCACCAAAAAAGAAAATCAACCTTCAGCAAGTGGCATCTGACTCCGATGATGAAAATGAACATGTGTTGGGCTGCACTGCTTTGGATGGTTATCAAGCAGAACCCATCATCAGCATGGACACATATCCTCTAGAATGGTGGTTGAAGCACAAAGGGACATATGAATCATTAGCGCATCTAGCATGTAAATATCTTGCAACGCCGGCTACAACAGTGCCATGCAAACACCTGTTCTCACTTTCAGGTGACATTGTAAACAAGAAGTGGGCAGCATTATCTCCTGCAAATGTAAACAAACTTGTTTGTCTGAGCGATTGAATGAACAAGAAGTAGGACTGAGTGGACTAGTAGGCTCTAAAGTTTTACATTGTTTTATTTTTGAATGTAGTTATTTATTATACATAATTCTACATTTGTAAGTTCAACTTTCAAAATAAAGAGATTGCACTACAGTACTTGTATTAAGTAAACTGAAAAATACTATTTCTTTTGTTTTTACAGTACAAATATTTATAATAAAAATAAATATAAAGTGAGTCCTGTACACTTTGTAGTCTGTGTTGTAATTGAAATCAATATATTTTAAAATGTGGAAAACATCCCAAAATATTTATATAAATGGTATTCTATTATTGTTTAACAGCACGATTAATCACGATTAATTTTTTTAATTGCTTGACAGCCCTAGTCTGAACTAGAAATGAAATGTAAGAATATTTTACAGGGAGCTAATCTATATTGTGGACCTGTGATGGTAAGAATAATAATTAAGGCTCCATTGTTTAGGTCAGAAAGAAGCTACTGTGTTAGCATGATAGCTGCTTTTCATAACATCTGTATCGATGACACAGGCTATGGGCTAGATAATGCCCTGCACTTATGCAGCTGCACTGGGGTGGTAAGAAGTAAGTATTCTGCCCCTTCTGAGGCCAACATAAGGGCCATCCATAATTACAGCCCTAGTACTCAGACACAGTCCCTGATGGACACAGACATAGACTGTCCCTGATGCACACACATACAGGGGGGTAGAGAGTGAGTTATTATGAC